GAGAGAGAAAGAAAGAGAAAGAGAGAGAAGGGGGAAGGAATAAGTATTTATTATGGATGAAAACTTTATGTATTTTTATTATGCCAGAAAACTTTAGCCATTACTAGAATTATTTTTCCCTCGATTCAGACTTTTTTAAATCAAGAATTTATCTAAATAAGATAGACGAATAATTTATACGCGAATAATTTATCTGAATGTAATTTTATTTGTCGTGATGAAGCATAATACGACGTAATACGATTGTTTTCAGAAGTGTGAAATTTTTTGTGTGGAATTTATGGATTTTTTTTTACCTACGAATAGAAAAAATTGACGGTCTATTTTTTTATAATGATCTCTTAAAGCAAATTACAGTTTCTGCTCGGTCCCGTTTTTTGCAAAATAATTTCATAAAGAAAAGGGTGTCAGCAAGGATTGAATAGGTCAATAGGACAACCCTTGAACGCGATAGCCGTTTTGTATTTATAAAGCTACTACATTTGTAGTAAGAAAAGAATTATAGTAGCTACACTATTTAAAAAAATAATTTCTTGTTTGACAATAAAGTATGAAAATGAAAGCTATCCATATATATTATATATCATATATGTTATATATGTACTTACATACATAAGATACATGAATATTTTTCATACTCTATTGTCAAAGAAGAAGCATATGATATATTCATCAAAGATATCGAAGTAATAGCCAATATGAGCCGATACGGCTGTGTATAATAATTTTATTGCTACCTTCTATATGATATAGTATATACATATGTGTGTGATTTTTGGTACATATAAGTTCAAGAATTTGAATAGTGAAAATAAACAATAAATTTGAATATTCTGTAATATTTAAGCGCTATATAAAGCATTGTGCAAGAAAATATTACATATATTATTAAATAGAAAACATTTAAAAATTTAATTTTTTTACTTAATTATTTTACAATTCTTAACAACAAGATTACAATTGTAACATATAAATAATTGTATATGTTTTTCTCTCTGGAACAAAAATTTTTAAATATGTGACAGAATTGCACGTATACATCAATCAAGAAATCAAGAATTAGTGAAAAAATAAAAGAAGGTGAATCAAAGTATACTTAACACTGCTCAACTTAATATATCTAGTGGTCATATTCATAATTAGATAGTAGCAAAAAAATGTTTAGAAAATATTAGTAATTATTAATTCGCGGAATGCGGCAGGAAATACATCGGGAAAATATAATCCTCACATTACAAAGTCACAGTATCATTTTTCTATATTATGATATATACATATATGAAGTCTAAAAAAAGATATTAAAAATATATTATTTATATATACATTATTTTTTTAAATTAGCATTTTGTTCGTGTGCGCGTGCGCGCATAAGTTTGAGAATTTGAATAGTAAAAATAAATAATAAATATGTAGCTTTTAAGTATTGCAAAGAAATATTGCACACACACACACACACACACACATACACACACACACACACACATGTATATATAATATGCCAATCTTACGTAAATTTATTACATAATTTATTCTACACGTGCCGCTGTTCTTGATCACGTCACATTTAGAGCTGTTGGAATATCTCTCCAATGTCAAGGATTACTAGTCATTCTTGTTATTAACAATTTCATTTAACGCGCGCGAATCATGATGACTTAAATACTGTTAAGAAAATAGCGTATCATTAATGAGTGTGCAAGTTCCATAAAGAAATATTTCGTAATAGAAAATTATGAAGGAGATTAAGAAATGAAAACACGTGTGCGAGAATATGTTTTTTTTGTTAATATTTTTAAGTCTATAACTTAATTAACGAGGTACATTTAAATTGACTGAGAATTCGTGTCTATCGTTGCAAGGGCGAAGGCTATGTTTTATGCATGACCGGCAGACAAATGGAGAGAGAGAGAGAGAGAGAGAGAGGGAGAGGGTAAGGAAAAGAGAAATCTTGAGAGATAAATAAAACACTGACATCTCTTCTTAAAACATTTCACTTAACTCTACCTGCCCTTTACCGCCAGACTGAAAGGTACGCGATCGCAACTGAACGCAACGATATATTTATATGCAGTGTCATTATGAGCGACGTTTGTTTTCATTGTTCAACGAAACGTTAATTGAAGTTCGTTTAATCGTTGCAACACTCAGTTATTTTTTTAAAAGAATGTGAGAGACTTTATCAGATGGAGCGTAATTTATTTTGCGTATGATTATTACGTATGAAATTTAACTATAATTGATAACTTTGTACGATCGATTTCAATCGATTTCGCGTTTTATCATTGTTTGTATCTTTATGCTACAGCCTTAGATCATAAACGAATTTTTGGAGGTGTGGGGATCACACTCACATTCCGAGATTTCCATCTGGTGTATTTCTCCTCCCGTGAAGAGGGTTGCAACGTCGTAAACGTTTTCGTTCTAAAATTTTTTTTGTAATCTTTGGTAAAGATCTGAAGATAATTCGTACTGGACCCGTGACCATAATTCAATGTCGCCGTTTCGGACTGAAATAAATATTGGGTCTGTCTTGACGCTCTCCCGAAAAGTATATAGTTTTCCCTTTGCTGGAGAATAGAAGTTTTCTTAGGTCAATGCCTTGATATGTCCCTAATATACAAGTATTTCTTTTGAAGAGAGTAAAAATATATAAACATTTTTAAATACTTTACAATAAAATAGACTTTTGTTTCTCTTTCAATTTCTCTTTTGTTTTCTCTCTCAATTTTTATTTGATTCAGATATACATATTTTGTTACAAAACAGCAAATTTGTTTTAAGGGAATACTTGTCTTAAGTATAATAAGGCAAGCTAAATCGATAAAAACAGGGTTTTGCTTAATTCACGACTTTCGGCAAGAATATGGAAGGCTGGAGGTGGAAAGATGCGCGGGAAGAGAAGAGAGTTGATTACCCGGAAACGCGTTCAACAGTAGAACGTTAATTCAATCGGAAGGTGCAACCGGCGTTATAGGAACAACTAGTTCCCCTAGAAGAAGAGGAAGAAGGAAACAATGCGATCCCTTAACTAGAAAGAAAACGGGGACTGCCAGGCGAGCGCACGGCGCTCAGGATAACACACGTACGCACGATGCTCCGTTATGCGCATGCGTCAGAAGCGGTCCTCATCTCCGAGGATTACAGGCCTGCGATCGAATAGTCCCGCTGGCTGGCTCGTGAGGCCTTATGGTGGGACGCGGAGGAGGGCCAGTGGATGGTGGGGGATTAAACAGTCAACGGGGTCCGCGCGCATTTTGCCCAGGAGATAGGCGACGAGGCATGGAGGGGCGAGGGAGGGGATGTGGACGGGCGGAAGAAAGAGGGGGCTTACGGGGCCCCCGGACTACTGAGTTCACTTACTCGGGGACTCAGTAGCTCACGAGAGGCCGTACGGTCGAGTTTCCTTGATTCACGGTGCCCGTTCGACGGAGCCGTTCTCAACATAACTGTAAATCCGCGCCCGAGTGAGGGAAGTGACAGACGCGTATGGACCTCAGCGCCGGAGCACGCGGGGACCGGTCGGGGAGAATCAGTGTTTCGGTTGCGAACGACACATCGATCGCGTATCCGAGGACCACGTATCGGCTGGACCCTGTTTTTTTTCCAGGGTACCGGCGTACCTGCTCTCGTTACGACTGGTGAACTCGTCAGCGGAATTTTTTTTTTTTTCTGTAAGAAAAGTTTCTCTGCCCATCCTGGAATTCGATCCGGAATCGCCCCAACGTCTTGATCTCCGCGCTGATCCTTGCGAATGATCGCTCGTCGGCGTAAGGCGCGGAGAATCACTCGTGATCGAGTCTGCAACAGGTGGATTTGACAAAGTTCGCCGACGACCTTCCGGCTCGAGCCGCGTCGTGTGACCGTCTGACCGTCAAGTACTCTTCGTTATGACACGACAAGTATGACACTGTTGTGTGCGAAAAAATCATACTAGCACCGACGTGCTTTGCTTCCAGCCGTGTTCTTGCACAGCCCGTTGTGCCGCGATCGCGATCTTGACTTACACCGCGGAGCGGGGAAGCGGCTCGCTTACCACTTCGATGTAGTGGTAGTGCAAAGTGACGACGACGTAAGTGCATCGCTCCCGACGACGTCAGGTCACGATGCCAAAGATCTTCCTCATCAAGAATCGACTGCATCAGCAGCAGTTGCGGTTGCTGGAGTCGCAGCATCTCAGCAAGAGCCCGCCCCCCGGTAGCGGCAAGGACAGCCCGCTCGGCAGCTCGGAGCCGTTGAGCCTCATCGTCAACAAGGATCAATGTAAAGTGATTTCCAATTAAACCGGATCGGATCTGGTGTAATTTCGGCGATCTCAGTTCTTTTTTTACACTTGTGTTAAATTGACGATGCAACGTCTTATATATTCTTCCCTCACATTGAAAGGGAAGTAGATTCGTCGAAGTTACACCGGCTCTCATCTCTCGAATCGAATTATTTTTTTAGAATTATCGTCTAATATTTAAGATACCTCAAGCTAGCCATATTTTCCCGGTCGACAAGTCCTTTTGTCAGATTTGAACATTTTTTCCTAGTTATTCGTTTTTTTTTCTTTTTTCGAACTTTTAATACGTCCGTGAGTGGATCTCAAATCAGAGTTCTGTCAGTATAAAGTCAAGCTTTGGGTTTTTTCTGCGTAGAAATAAAATCTAATCATTGCAATATTATGTCAGGGCATAATCAAATTGAGCCAATTAATCCAATCGAACGGATTATGGAGTGCGTAATGTTATGCAGACGTTGTAATTATCGATATAATCACCGGGATTCCGGTTTTGCTTAATGAATTTTTGCGAATGCACGCACAGGAGCGATAAGTATCTACGGAGTATATACGTATTAAATCGCGGCGAAGACTCTCGCGTATATACGTATACGACGCACTCATTATGGGGATAAATGGCGAACGGATTAATAAGGCGCAAGACAATTATCCATCATCTTTTCGGTGCTGTGTGCACGGCAATTTGATATGCCGATTATCAGATCGTTATGGAATCGCATTGACCGCGCTCTGCTGTGTAAAATTAAGATACCGATCTCGGCAGTTTAATCCGTAATATGCGGATCCATCGATAACGCGGAACGATCGGAAGGCACAAGTGCAACTTCGTGGCTTCCCCCCCCCCCCCC